CAAAATAAAAGTTATAGATCTTGATGAGTTGTAAAACTTTTATATTCATGACTTTTTCATTCGAAATCATATGCTCTTTCAATATGTTGTTTCAAGTTTCCATATTTTTGAATTTCAAATTTTTAATTTTTCAAACAAAGTCACATGACAAGATGACCCAAATAAATTGATAGAGCTTGATTTTTAAAAAAATAGTAGAAAAGTCATCACATTTGGAGTTAGTATGAGGGAGAAATACTAGTTACAAGTTTTAGCCAGAGATTAAAAAGATAGATCACACTTGTTCATGAGATCACACTTGTTCATGACACCTGTGATGAAAAAGTATGATTTCTTTTTTTATTCTCTGGGTATGTGCAAGTGTTGTATATCGATGTTGCAAAAGTAGATCGGGATATTGCACATGTTGTAATGGCTATACACGTATGTTTCAAGTGTACGTTCCAAACGTTTCATCTTTTCCTGACGTATGTTGCAAGTGTTTTATTTGGATGTTGCATATATATACATGCATGTTACAAGCATATGTTTTTAAGTGTTTCATACAAATGTTTGCAAGTGTTTCATGTGTATGTTGTATATGTTTGCAATGGTTTTCCAGTGTTTTCAGGTGTTTTCGCAAGTGTTTCATACGATTGTTTCAAGTGTTTCATCTATCTTCTTTTATATATTGTAATTGTTGCATCCGGATGTTTCAGTAGTAGATCGGGTGTTGCACATGGGATGCGCGTGGGAAGCGGCTGGCGGTGCGGGCCCACTACTATGGCGCTCGCTCTTGAGCCCGAGCATTAGGGGCGCTCACGCACTCATTGTGTGGCATCGTCCGGATGCTAGTGCCCCGGATCGGACGTCCGGGCACGAACAAGTCCGATTGAGTAAATATCTGAATAGAAATCCGAATTCAAGACATTCATTTTGTATTCGTGTTGGAAAAGATCCATATGTGTATTTGAATCCGAACTAAAATATGGTAAAAGATGATATCCGGATCTGATTCCATGCGAATCCGATCCGTTTCCATCCTTTGTTGTAACTGATCAGACCTGTTTTACTAATAAGGCAGTAAATTAAGGGCAAACTAGCTAATTTTTGCAGCAGCATGTAATCTGCGTGGCAACAGATAGGAGTGGCAGCTCCTCAAGCGCCTCGACGATCGCGTCAAGGCCGATGGAGTGGAGAGGTTGGATAGCGGCAAGAGCCTGCGCCAACTCTTCCTCCGTTGTGACGATGAAGTCCAGGCTCCCGAAGCACACGTGCACGCCCGGGACCCAGCTGACGGCGTGACTAGCCATCCGAGGCCTGATGTGGACGTCGAGACGCGCAAAAACCCCCTACCTGGCGCGACAACTGTCGGTGTTTCGGAACACTGGCTAGTAAATTTCTAGTTTGCACGTCTGGCCCGGATGGTGTGCTCGGAGGACACAAGGATTATACTGATTCGGGTAGAACGTCCCTACGTCCAGTCTGCTGCTGCTCGTGTTACCGACACTGTCTGTAGTAAGGGTTACAGATGGGCGAGAGAGGGAGTGGATCCCAGGTCTATGGTGGAAGGATTGAAAAGTGTTGAGAGTTTGTTCAGCTACTCAGCCATGTGCTCGTGCCTATGTCCGTCCCGTGTTGTGTCGCATTGTGTTCCCCCTTTCATAGAAGAAGGGAAGATGTAGGTTACATCATAAAAAAGAGAAGAGAGAGACAAAGAGGGAGAAAATCAAGGAGAAGAAGCCCTCTAGGACCGCCGCGTCCTTCTTCTCCTTCAAGCGGGTCCCGCCGACGCTGTAGATGGTGACCGGGATAGCTCCACGTCGGGCTCCTATTCACCACTGGTACTGGTACTATGCCTCGATGTCATCAGTTGGTCATGGCGTTCCATGCCATCCCGACAGACGTCGTGGTGAACCGACATGCTTGTCGGCGGCCGTAGGGGGATTAGGCAGCACAGCGCCCACGCACCGTCACTGTTGGCGATGCGAACCCCTAGGCGTGGCATGTCATGGCCACGGGTCACGTCAAGGCGTGTCCGCACCCCTTCTGGTGTCAGAGGCTTGACCCAAGCCCACATGCTTAGACCCGTAGCGGTTGGGGGTGGTACGGACCCCGCTGGGCGCCGCCCGAGGGGTTGGGCAAGGCGGAGCCTGCGCCCAAGGGATCGGGCGAGACGGAGCCCGTGCCCGAGGGGTCGGGCGAGACGGCTCTCATACCCTCGGGGTCGGGCGACACGGGGCCCGTGCCCCGAGGGGTCTGGCGAGGCAGAAACCGTTCCTTCGGGGTCGGTCGAGACTGAAATACGTCCTTGATTATCTAGGCGAGTTGCCGTTTGCGGTCCTCAGATCCCTTCTTCGGGTATCCCTAATACTGATACCCGACAGTAAGTGTCTGTATGCTTGTAAAAAGCTTTTGTTATTGTTTCAAATTTAAAAAAAACAGCTTGGGCTGGGTTGGGTTGTAGGGGCACGAATTCTCAATAGTCTGAAATTATCCTCTCCTTTATCATGAAATCCTCAAGGTTTCTTTCTCAACTCGATCACTCAACGAAAACTTTAGGATGTTTTTGTTCCAGTGCTTTAGACTCCCCAGGCCATCGGCTTATTCAGCTGTGTTTGCACTTAGCCGATAGGGGTCACACACATACGGCTAAATAATATTCAGACAACTCCAAGACCTATTACTCCCTTCAATTTTCACAGTACGCCCTGGAATTCAGGTTACCAAAACAAATGGCCCTGGAATTCAGGCAAAATAAATGGCGCCGTGGCAGACAATTAATAATCCACTTCTATTTGCTTTACGTCATGATGCAAAACCAAAACAATGGCCGGCCTTCTCCGGGAGCAATGAAAAGCTATAGCGTATTTCAGCGGCAGCTATTTCATTTAGCGGTTTCATTAAAAACATCAAAGCTCTCATTTAGCTATGCACATAAACAAATACTCAAAATACATATCTAGGACTCCAAGATAACTTGTTTCTAAGTCAGTTCTACTGCAAGTTTATAGTAGTCGATCAATATACTGCAAGTCATTTACATTCATTCAACATTCAACAATCAACAACTGTTCAGTAGTTCATCATAGTAGACGTAGCTAGTTTATAGTAGTCGATCTAGAGCAAATGATACTGAATATTGTCTGCAAGCGCTTTCAGACACGCTTTCACACTTTTTTTTTTCTCAGGAGTGCTCTAATGGGGTGCACTCCTGCCCATAACAAAAATTTGTCATAACTCCATTATGTAATGCGATTTTCACATCATTAGTTTGAAGAACTCTGAGAAACCAGAGGGCATCTTGGAGCCATCTGGTTGCCTGAGTTTTCTGTGGTACACTACTGGAGAGCTGAAATTCCCTGACGGTGTACTTACCGTCAGGCAAAATGAAAATACCGTCAAGCAAAATAAAAATTTAATTTTCCTGACAGTGTATCGTTAGGGAATAACCGTCAGGCTAGCGTGACAAGGAAATTGGAAAATGTCTGACGTTGAACTGTCAGGGAAATTAATTTTGATTTACCTGACGGTACTGAACCCACAGGAAAATTACTAACCGTCATGGATAAAAAAGTCAATTTTTTTGTCGGTGCTAATTTCGTTGATGACAGTGATATAATATCCTTTTCTATTATAATTAAAACAAATATGCTTAAACATAATATAATATACACAAAATCATGGAGATACACAATCATGGATATATATATAGATTAGTCTAACATAAATCCATTACATACAAAGATGTCTTGTTTGCATCAACATAGGTAAATACATAAGTATGTCCAAACATTTGGCAGTAGACTACGTACAACTTTTGGTCCACAAGCAATACAGCACAAGCACACAGCCATGTGACTCTTTGTACTGTAATCATAATCTGGACGAGCGTAGTCAGCCAACCAAGTTTCTGGAGGCATAAAAGTTTTGCAATCAACTTCTCATCTGCCATTCCTGCAATATCCACTGATCAAGAAATAGTTAAGAGATGCATGCCTTGTACCATGTCACACTTTTCAGATGGGCAATACTGTTCATGCAAGAAATCAAAAAGGCTATAAGAATCGTGGCCATAAAGATACTTTGAATATTCAATATAAGAAATTTGAATTTATACGAGTGGACAATGTCAATAGCTCCATACCTGGAATCCAATTATTCTTTTATGTGGAGATTTCTTTCTGCCATGCATACAGAGGGACTCGGGACCCCAGCTCTAGATGGTTTTCTGAATAATGCAATAGACAATGAATTAGAAAATTATGCATAAGCTTTGATAAGCATGCTTTGAATTCGTTATGCATAAGCTTTGATAAGCATCATGCTTCAGTCCATTAAACAAAACAGCAGCTAAGGAAATTATGATTCTTATACTACACAAAATAAAAGAACAGTTTAACAGCTCTTTGCAATGCCTTCTTATAAAGTCATTTAAAAAGTTTACTATTTCCCAAATATCCAAATCAATTACTTATACTGATATAATAGCTTAAACATTAAGTCTTAATGGTAACAAAAGGGCAGATAATATAAGGTGCTACTTGTTCCTTACGAGCAGGACAAGAACTTTGGCTATGATTTATGACTATTAAGGGGCCTTAAATAGTATTTCATTGCATTCTATTTATCCAAAAATATCATACAAACTTTTCACCAACAAGTAGCACATTCGTATTTCTGGCATTGATACAGGATCAAACTGCAACATGGCTGCTACAGATATGAGAGACCGAGACAATATATGTAGCAAGTTAGCAATAGTCCGGCCATCACTATATCATACCGAGATGAGTTATAATATATCACCATCATTGGCAAATTATGCATCTTTAGTGTCACCATCATTGGCAAATTATGCATCTTTAGTGTCCACATGAAAGCAAATGATATTGACATATTAACGAATAAATGCTGTAGTTGTCTGAGGCTACTTCTCTACAGACATTAGCTTCCTAATGATCACAAAGTGCACAAACATCTAGTATCTTGAACAGAATAACAAATGATCATCTGATGTGTCATAGTAATGGCAGTTTCCTGTTATTGTCCCATCCACTGCACCCGGCCTGAATTAAACCAGCACAAGTATGAACTATTAACATTCAGGAGAATAAAAAAAAACCAATCGGCAAAATTTGTTCATCGCAAAGGTATTCGGATGCCAGGCCAAGGAACCGGAGGTAAGTTAGGGTTGGGGCTCACCTTGGTGTGGACTGAATGAGGACGTGTGGACGCCGGATTGGTGATGGAGTCAACCGGGGAGATCGAGGACGCGGGGGCGGTGCCTCGTCCGCTCGCCGCTGAAGACGACGCTGGGGTGGGGACGCGGAAGCCGCGCCTTGTATTCTCGGAGCTGGGGCGGTTCGGCCCTACGGCGACGAGGTTCGACGGATCTGCAGCGATGACGGCCATGAGTTCGGGCGCCGACACGGAGACTCGGGGCCGTGCACCGCTGCCGCGTCTTTGGGCAGCCCCCTCACGTGATACGCCAACGCCGGCTCCTCACTAGGCCGCGGCCTCCGCGCGCCACCATCGGCCGCCGGGGCCACGACCTCCGCCGCCGCCCTCGGCCGCCGGGGCCACGACATCCTCACGCCGCCGAGGCCGCGACATCCGCATCCGCGCGCTATCGTTTATATATGAGTTCTTTTTTGTCCAGATGAATTCTGGCCATTAGATTGAGATCAACGGCTGCTATCGTTTTGGCATTAGGTTTCCCTGTTTGGGCCTTTGCTGGGCTTCAGGGAGTCGCACGGGCCTTAGCAGGCCGCGCACTTGGAGAGTGAGTCAAGGTCTGTTTTGGGCCGTTTCTTTTTTTTTCAAAGGCCGAATTAAGATTCATTTATTTTAGATATGAGTTTGCTTGTGAAACAATGTTTTTTTGGTAATTTTAAGTATGTTTTTGCGAAACAAAGTGTAGTACTACTTTTTTTAAATCCTGTGAATTTTTTGTGCAATGATTATGCACCAAAATCATGTTATCATGCGAGTTTGCAGATTTTCCTAACCAACTTTGGAAATTATTACATTTGAAATTTTTATGCAATGATTATACATCAACATTGTCAGGATCATCTCCCTTTGAAATTAGTGCCTAATATGGTAGTCTTCCATTGACTACCATTGAGTATTCTAAAATAATGCAGTTACAAAGGATAAACTACTAAGGTATACAATTGCATCTCTTATGTTTAGGAACGAAGTACTGACACCACACCCCACACTCATTTGTGTCTATTATAGATTTTCTTTCCCCACATATTATCCTAAACCGAGTGTAAATTGATTATTCGAGGCCCTAAATGAATTCAAATTAAAAGTTGACACCTATAAAGTTGTATAAATTTTCGAGATCTATAACTTTTATTTTGGTAGTTTCTCCATTCGAGGTCGTTTACAAAATTTGAATTCCAAATTTGAGAAATTCAAACGTAGTTTTCCTTGACAAGATGATTTCAAATTAAAAAGTTGTCAACTACAAAGTTGCATAACTTTTTGAGATTTACAACTTTTTATTTTTGCTATTTGTCCATCCAAGGTCATTTGAAAAATCCAAATTTCAAATTTTTGAAAATTCAAACGTAGTTTTCCTTAACAAGATGATTTCAAATGAAAAAAGTTGTATAACTTTTTGGGATCTACAACTTTCATTTTGGTTGTTTCTCCATTTGAGGTCGTTTGGAAAATCCAAATTTCAAATTTGAGAAATTCGAATGTAGTTTTCCTTAACAAAATGAATTCAGATGAAAAAGTTGTTAACTACAAAGTTCTATAAATTGAATGATCATGATTTTAGAAGGAACTAGGAAAAAGAAACATATCATTTGGAGTTAGCACGAAGGAGAAAGACTAGTTACAAAATTTGACCGTTGGTTAAAAGGAGAAAACCTTTTGTTCATGTTCCTGAGTTTTCAGTTTTTTTATGTGTGTTTTCGAGAAACCGTCAAGATAATGCTATTTACCCTGATGGTTTATACAATAACCGTAAAAAAAATATGACTCTAGATAAAAAAGTTGTAAACTACAACGATGCATAACTTCTAGAGATCTACAACTTTTGTTTTAATTATTTTTCCATCCGAGATTCTTAACTACCACCACACACTCACTTGTAACTATATAGCATATGAACTCCTTTGTCATTAACTCTATTAAATCTTGCGAGATGCATATTTGGACATCCAAATGATTTCATCAAATAAAAAATATTGAAACTACAAAGTTGTATATTTCCTCCAGCACTACAACTTTGATATAAATTTCGTCTTCATCGATCATCAAATGAAAAAGTTATGAAGTTTTTCGTGTAACATATCACTGTCGGTTTAAGCTACTCAATATCACTGTCAGTTCATAGCTAAAACCGATAGTGATATGAACCGGTAATGATGATCCCAATATCATTGTTGGTTGGTCATATCACTGCCAATTTTAGCCATAAACCGACAGTGAAGGACCATCAGTGAAGGTGTAGTAGTGTATCTCGGGAGTTGATTCATGGTTCCAGTTTGGGTATGGGATGGGAGCCGATTTGGTGAACTGTCGAACACGTATAATTGGTACCAGCTCCTCTGTAGGCAGCCCTGGGAAGACAGCGACCCAGGGAGGCGAGGTACGGCGACGCCGGCAGTGAACTCCTGCCGGTGGATTGTCTATTCAGGGATTCTGTTTGGATAACCACTACAAGAAATATGGGGATCTATGACAATTTTTTTGTGACGATGAGTCAATTCGTCAATAAGTCATTCTGTTTTATGACGACTTTTAGGAGGAGAACAACTTTCTGACGAAAATTATGTGTTCGTCATTAAGACGCAATAAAAATCGTCATAACCTAGAGAAGTAGTTTGTTTATGATGATTTATGTTCCGTCGTAACATGCTACCTTGCAGTTGTCATAAATTATTACAATATTAGTTTGCCAAAAAATTATTTACATATAAATTAGATATTTGGTCCCATTGTCATTTAAATTTTAATGGGCTCTATATGTAATGCTATTTTTGGAAAATAAAAAAAAAAAATCATCTTCATCTCACTGTCATATGAATAAGATATAATTTTGCTAAGGTAGAGTTAAAAGATCCAAAAAATAAAAAATCAAGGAAACCACAAGATAAAAAACATTCATATGATGCACTCGAACATGGGCCTTTTATGTTTTTTTTAAAAAAGCGGCCAACATGCATGTGATGCATTGCTCTGGAGAATATAAGATTTGTTAACATGTTTTTTTGGTGCTTGTCTTGAGTTTAAAAATCAAAACTATGTTTTAATTTGAGTTGGCATTGGCTTTGAAATAAAAAATAAAAGACTCTTTTTATCACCTTTTCCTTCTTGCCCAGAAATCTCCTCCCTCTCTTTCTTTTGGCCTGGCCCAACCGGCCTTTCCCTTTTCCTCGCCCCACTCGATCACCAGCAGCCTGGTAGTTGCTCTGGCCCAGCCCAATCTGACAGCACACCTCCCTACTTCCCCTTGCGCAGGCCCGTACGCAGAACATATAACTGTATAATGACTAAATGAACAAAAATCTCTCAGTAGTACAGGCTGCTAAGCTGCAGCACCTGAGATCCTGTGTTCGATCCCAAGGTGCTCAGTTTTTGCAATTTTTGCTGTGCGTTTTATAAAAAAAAATGTCAAAGTTCGAATAGAATGAAAATAGAGCTTTGAACTCACTACCGAATAGAAACAAAATAGAGCTTTGAACTCACAACCTATTAAGTTGCCTGCACATAGGCTCGAACCATGGTCCAATAGGTTCACAAGTTGATGCTCTACCATTGAGCTAACGACCTGATTGTGATAGTGATTGTATATTTTGTTATATCATAAATTCGACTAGGCCAAGTCTTCAGCTTGGGCCGCTGCCAGACCACCTTCCCACGCCGGCCCAACTCTGCAGGAGAGCACAGCTTTTTGGCATCCAAATAAATTAAACTATTTTTCAGCATCCAAATAAATTTTAAGGGCTGAAAAATAATAAAAGATAAAAAAACGCCTAACACAACACCAGGAATCGAGCTAGGGCTTTAAAGAGAACAGGAAGTGAACCAAACCACTACGCTAGTAAGGTAATGTTGTTAGACAAAGGAACTAAACACTATAAGTACGCTAATGTTGTCGGACATAAGAGAACAGTGAGTGATCCAAATCTACAAACTTGCATGATAACATGGACACATCTCACATATAGTTAGCATGTGTTTAGTTTGGGGACAACATGGAGTGGGTTGGACCCATCCTAGTTTTAAAGGTTGGGTTGAACCCATTTCATGTTTGGTTTGAGGGATGGGGTCTGTTTGGTTTGAGGGATAGAGCGGGTTGAGGGATGGGATCATTCTAACACCGTTAGCTCCGTGCGGCCCCTCTCCTCCAGGCCGGGGCTTGACCCCACGCATCGTGGCTGGGTTGTAGCTTGCCCGCACTGCCATGGCTAGGGCTCGAGCTCGCCCCCGCCCCACCATGGATGGGCTCAAGCTCGCCCCATGCCATCGTGGCCGGGCGCTCGAGCTCACCCCGTGCCGCCGTGGCCGGGCGCAACCCGCTCCGACCCACTTGAACCCTCCATCCAAACACATGCTTATATTTGTGAATGATGTACAGTCCCTTTATTAAAATTTCTTGAATTTTTAATTGAATGCTTATGAACCCGAAATATGTTGTTGTGTCAATTTGCTGAATTATCGGACCATGTTTAGTTATTATTGCAATTATTTTGTTGTATTACCATAGCATAAATGTAATAATATCTAAACTTGGTCAGGAAATTCTACAAACTTGCATGCCAACATTATTTTGGTGTATAATCATTGCATAAAAATTTCAAATGATTTTAACAAAGCAGTACTTCACATTATTCACAGATGAACACATCTCTCACATTTTGGTGTATAATAGTTCAGCCCATTACTATACAGCCCAACAACATCAGTCTATTTAGCCCACTGTCTCCTGCCGTTTGATCTGCGAGCCGATGGTCGAGATTCATCCTGTGAGCAATATAAGCCTCTCCGACTCCTTGTACCCCTAACCCTAGCCATTTCCCTCCCTGGCTTCCCACTGGCAGCCGCAGCCGCACGCCGCCTCCGTTGCCACCGCACTCCCCGTGCCTCCCTCCGGCCATGGCAGCCAAGATAGGGTGCAGAGGCTGGCGCTTACGTCTCTCTCGGCGCGCGGCATGGAGAAGCGCCGCGCCGTGCCCTTGCACGGAGTCTCACCGCCATGGCGGCTGGCCCGGCGTGGGGTGGCCTGGCCCCAACGTAGGGAGTGCGGCGCTCGAGCTACAGCCTCCACGGCCACGCCTCCACCTAGGCTCGTCCCCTTCGGGTAGTCCCTGTGCGCGCCGCCCAGATCCACTCATCCAGCGGTAGCCAGCAACGCAGTGGGTGTTGCGCTGACGCCCGGCGCTCCT